ATTTCCTCTTCACTCCATTTCCCCATCAACACAAGTTGTTTCTTTTGTCTCTCTCAGAACCCAATTCCAATTACTGCTTCCACACTGGCTGACTGACCTGAGAGCCAATTAGGTTCTAGCCAAGCAACGAGCAGGGGCAGGGCATACCTTAACCAAAGGGCAGTAGGTTACCAGAGCCAGATGGCACAGGACGGAGCCAGTGTCAAGAAGGAATGGGAGCTGAAGCCCATATGCCACATCATGCCACCACTCAGCCTACCCAACTCAGATTCCACTCTACGCCACCCAGTTTTGCTTACTGCCTTTCCGCTGGCCTCAGATCCCAAAGCCAATCTGACTGTCCTCTGGCCATGGACAGTTCAGGGTGCATCTCTGCACACAGAGGGGCAGTAACTCCTTCCCATCTGGCATGACAGGAGAGCAGCCAAGCCACACTTCAGTAGCACTGCAACCTGGTGCATGGGCTCTTGCTTCTAGTCCCAAGGTCTGCCCCAGGGGAGCAGAGCAGAGGCAGTCTATAAGCAGCAGAGAAAACACATTAAAATGTTATGTTTGATGTTTTCATTTATTAATCCGCTAGTCTTCTGCATATTAAAGAAGGTTTGTGAAAGAGGTATATTTAAACTGTTTCCCTCTACCCCCATTTAAAGGCTGTGCTGTAAGAGGCTTTTAGAAACACTTTTTTTTTTATACACACAGTTAAAGCTGTACTATAATAAATTTTGAGTTACACAACTGTAAACCATCCATAGATGGTGTGGCACTCTGTCCCCCTCTAGTGGTGATTAGGCCAAATAAGGATTGATGACCATGCTGCAGTCTTAGGCTATGTCTACACTGCAGTTTTTCTGGGATACTGGAGGTATCCCGGAAAAAAAAGACCCTTTGCTGCATCCAGGGAATTTTGCTGAAGAGCAGACGCACTTTTTCAGCATCTCTGTAAACCTTGTTTTACGAGGAAGAAGGGTTTTTTCCCCCCCAACATTTGGCCCAGTGTAGATGGACCAAATATCGGAAAAGCCTCTTCCGGAAAAAGCTCTGCAAATTGCAAACTGCAATTTGCATAGCTTTTTCCGCCTTTTTTGGAATAGCAGTGCGGTATTAGACATAACCTTAGATAAGAAAACTGGGCCTTTTAACTGAGGTAATGAAAGCTAATTAATTATGCTCAAGATCACCCAGATTTAATCCCCACTACTGAAAACCCATGGAGGGGCATTCAGCCTAACAATATGTAGCCTCTAAAAAATAAAAAGTCATACAGTCCACTGAACATTTTTCAGTGGATTTTGTGGTCCTCTACTAAGTTGCCTATCTCTGAGCTAGAGGCAGAAAACAAATCCTGGAACTTTAGAGTACTGTAGACATAGCCCAAGAGATGATGTTCTCCTTATTTCTCTCCAAATAAAGGGCTTTTGCACATATTTCAAATTCATGGAAAGGCCACAAACAAACTTTAATCACCCCATTTCTTCAGTCCAGTTTAAAGACTTAATGGAAAATAAAAGTAGAGTACTGTGTCCTTGGTTAAAAGCTTCATTTTAAGTTAACTGGAATGCAGGCCATCATAGTTTGAGCTCTGGCTTTATATCTAAACTCTGGTGATAAAAAAACCCAAAGCAACAAATTAACCTTTTATTCCTCTTGGAAAGTACCAATCTAGAAACACTGATGTTATCCATACTGTACGTGGTTTACAAGAGTCAACCCAACATTCAAGGTGAAACAATTTTTAATTATGCCTCAAAGAAACTTGCAATTTATTGAAAAACTATCACAGATAACCAGGGCTCAACAATCTTTGTAATCTACTCGCCTGTGGCGAGTAGATTACAACCCGGAAGAGCTGGGTTCCGGCGATCTGCGCATGCGTAGAACACCGGACAGCTCGGCGAGCCCTGTAGATAACACCTAACATCAATGCTGATAAAGGCGGCCCTGGATGTACATTCAGAACATATACCACCTAAGAGAAACAAGTGAACTGTACTGTCACTCTCTGCCCTCAAAAACTGCACCATGAGATTATACTACTGTGATCACAAGGAGATAGATACAGCCAATCCCAATAGGAGATTCCAGCTCAGTTACTGAGGGAAATTAAAGTGAACGATTTATGGTAGTGATCTATGGGCAACAAAATGGCAAATGAAATTTAATGTTGAGAAATGTAAAGTAATGCATGTTGGAAAAAATAATCTCAACTATAAATACAATATACTGGAGACTAATTTAGTTACAACTACTCAAGAGAGAGATCTTAAAGAGTTATTATGCATAGTTTTCTGAAAACATCCACTCATGTGCAGCAGCAGTCAAAAAAGCAAACAGAATGTTAGGCATCATTAAAAAAGGATAGAGAACAACACAGAGAATACCTTATAGCCTTTATATACATCCATGGTATGCCCACATCTTGGATACTACATACAGATGTGGTTGCCTCATCTCAAAAAAGATATATTGGCACTGGAAAAGGTCCAGAAAAGGGCAACAAAAATGATTCGGGGTTTGGAACAGGTCCCATATGAAGAGAGATTTTAAAAACTTGGATTTTTTCAGCTTAGAAAAGAGGAGACTAAGGGGGAATACGATATAAAATCATAAAATCATGACTGGTGTGGAAAAAGTGAAAAAGGAAAAATTATTTACATATTCTCACAATATAAGAACTAGGGGTCAGCAAATAAAATTTAATGGGCAGCAGGTTTAAAACAAACCAAAGAAAGTTTTTCTTCACTCAGCGCATAGTCAACCTGTGGAATTCCTTCCCAGAGAATGTGGAAGGACTTTAACAGGATTCAAAAAAGAGCTAAATAGATTCATGGAGGTTAGGTCAATCAATGGCTATTAGCCAGGATGGGTAGGAATGGTGTCCCTAGCCTCTGTTTGTCTGTAAAGGGGTGACAGGACAGGGATCACATGAGGATTACCTGTTGAGTTCGCTCCCTTTGGGGCATCTGGCATTGGCCATTGTCAGCAGACAGGATATGGGGCTAGATGGACCTTTGGTCTGACCCAGTATGTTCTTATGTTCTTAGTGGTTCCTAATCTGGGAGTTCTGAAACATATCATGATTTTTGAAGGCGGGTACATTTCCCTCTTCTTTCCCAACTCAGCAAATGAAATTTGCTTATTCCATTAAACAAAAAAAAAAAACAAAAAAAAAAAAAAAAAAAACCACACACACACACACACACACACACACACACACACACAAGGAAGAGGAAAAAGCAGGGGAAATTTCAGTTATAGACTGCAAATGTGAGTATGTAATAGAAGGCTGTAAATGAAAACTGCTTTGTAATTTCAACTGTACAGGTTGAGACAACAGATAGAGGAACTGATAGATGTTCTCTTTCCAACCTAAAGTTTCCTAACTCTTTGCAAGGACCTGCCATCCACAATAATACCTCCAGTAATATGTAGTGATTCTCTTCTTCAGTTACTGCTATTTTAACTTGTTTTTGCAGATAAACCTGGTGTTTGTTTTTTTAATCACATACAAAAAAATATTAAAACTAAGGATGCATGACAGTGTATTAGACTAGTTTCTCATTACTGGCTATTCCTTTACCTTTTCAAAAGTCTTAGCGGGGTAGCCGTGTTAATCTATAACTTTAAAAACCAACAAGTCCTGTGGCAACTTCAAGACTAAAAAAAGAAATTGTATTTATACAAAAAAATACAAATCAGGAGAGAGAGGGTTTTCTTGGTCACTAGTTCCCATTGCAATGCTATCTTCACTGAGCAGTTTACATGATATTCAGATTAAGGATGTTATGGTATAGTCAATTAACTGATTAGCAAAAACTTATTGGTTAATAAGTTTAAGGGAGGGATAGCTCAGTGGTTTGAACATTGGCCTGCTAAACCCAGGGTTGTGAGGTTCAATCCTTACAGACACCATTTAGGGATTTGGGGCAAAAATTCATCAGGGATAGTACTTGGTCGTGCTGTGAAGGCAGGGGACTGGACTCGATGACCTTTCAAGGTCCCTTCCAGTTCTAGGAGATAGGCAATCTCCATTAAAAATAATAATAATAATAATAATAATGCTACAGACTACACATATTCCACCACCCAGGCCAGTAAATTTAGCAGCAGCCTGGCTTAGTCCTGGTTCATGCTGGGTCCAGGACCTACTCCGCTACAGCTCTGCATTTAAAGTGTATTAAGAGCCAGGCAGCTCAGTTCCAGCTCACACTGGGTCTGGGAGTTCAGCTGCTCCTCTCCCCGCCGGACAGGGGCTGCTGCTGCTTCTATCAGAGGCAGCAGGTCCATGAGGGGAGCTGGTATTTAAACTGGCTCCCCTCATGGTCTGGCTCTCACCCGGCACCCTGTGCTGCTGCCTCTGTTTCAGAGGCAACAGCATGGAGTGTCAGGGGGGCTTCACGGAGTGGGGCCAGAGCGCACCAGCTACCTGCCCCACCACCAGGAAGTATAGAATGGTTGAGTAACCGAAGTATAGAATGGTCAAGTAACCAATAAGGAGTTCATGTGGTTACTCGACTATTCAATTAACCGATATTTAACATCCATAATTCAGATCGGTTTTCTGGGCAGTTACATTCTAATGATGTCTGAATTAGTAGTAGTATAAGTTTAAAAAATTCCTTCTAACATTCATTTGTCTGTTGAATTTCAACTTATTGCCCTGTTAAAAGTAAGTTAATTGGGAACATATTATGGGGAAAAACAGGATCAATGAAAGCCAAAGAAAGAGAGACCTTGGAAGATTTGGTAAAAGACCCAAGTACTATTTATTTGTTCAAATCAAATGTTGAGAAATTTTACACATACATTTCTAGCTAGAGAGGACTGCAGAACTGGATAGAGCAAGTTAAATGTCTGAAGTGAGGAAATTCACTATGAAGCCACTAGTGAACATGTATAGCACTTACATTCATCTAGCCCTAGCTGATAAGCCAGGTTCTGCAGGCCTCGCACCTTCTCCATTAGGTTTGCTGTGGTAAGGCTTCCCAGCTCTAAAAACAGAATAAATGTGATTAACATTGTTTGTTGCCCTCTAGTGGTAACTAATCCATATTAGCTATTTAGCAGAGAACTTTCAGGTCACACTGAAGATGTGCTCTCTACCACTTGAAGATGGCTTATATTCAGCAGTCCTCTTCACATTTGGATGACAGGGAAATAATGTAGGTCCATAGCTTCCTTATTGGAATTCCAAGTATGGGTGCCTAAATCTTGATTACAGAACTAGACAAAGAGAAGTGACGTACTCCTGTAACCCACCCTTCTTCTAGTGCGTAGTTCTTCCCTACTTCCCTACTTTAAATTGCATTTTGTCAACCCTAAGTTTGACTACTCCATGCAATAACACTTCCACTAAGGTGGTGTTCCTATAGTCTGAAAAATTCTCATATTTCTTGGATTTTTCCCTTCCTTTCATCTCACTATTCCTTGTTAGTCTACAGTTCTTCAAAAAGTGTGTAAACACCAGAGAAATCTGTAGACAGATACATTGTGCTCTCTTTTCACCTTAGACATGTTTCAACTGAACCACCACTTATTATGAATTCTTTTGCTCTTCAAATGATTTCAGCAATAGTCTTTATTTTGTTGCTCTTTTCTGAGCTCCCTACTGCATGAATACCGCTGACATACAAAGCTGTACATGGTATTTCCAGTGTGACTGAATGAGAGCCACACATAGAAGGATTATTTGCCTTTTTGCTTTGCTATTGTCTGTCACCCCATAGTTAATTATTTTGGGAGTAAACAAGCTTGAAGCTGAGTAGGAAACAAATACAAGTTAACAAGAACTTCTTAAATTCAACCCACATTTTCAGTAGGAATTAGAGACGTGTAGCTTTTGTGCTTGAGACACTAGTAAAGTGGCTATTGTTTCATAGTTGTTCCATAGCATAGCCAACTTTGTACTTAAAAGGAGAGATTAGGTCTGTTACATATTGATACAAATATGTTCTGCAGAATTATTTACTTATCAAATTGATTTGAGAGCTCAATTAATCTGTTAATTAAATTAAAAATTACACTTCAATTCCACCAGGGGAAAAACCCAAAGTGTTAAGTCAGGGGATTGAGAAAAAAAAATACCGATTAACTTATAAATACAGTCTGTATCTTAAAGTTTAATTTATTAGTATGAAAACATTAATTTACTCATAACCATTATCTGCTTTGTGATATCCATATGTAACTATATCAGTACTCAAATGATTGCTACAGAATTTAAGATTTCATTTAAAAGCTACTTCTAGTACTAGGCTTGTGAAGATAACACTGAAAATATGAATCAAGGCCAATTGATTTGGTGGGTGCACCTTCACTAGGAAAAGGGTATAGATAGTTCTCTGAAAACATCCACTCTGAAAATATCCACTCAATGTGCAGCAGAAGTCAAAAAAAAAAAAAGAGAGAATGAAAAATCATTGGGAAAGGGATAGATAAGACAGACAATATAAACATCACTACACTGTGTGCAGTTCTGATTGCCCCATCTCAAAAAAGAGACTTTAAAATTGGAAAAGGTACAGAAAAGGGCAACAAAAATGACTGAGTATGAAAGCATCCAAATGAGGACAGATTAAAAAGAATGGAACTTTTCAGCTTGGAAAAAGACTACAAAAATGAAATAGACTAGAGATTTGTAAAATCATGACAAGTGTGGAAAAAGTGCATAAAGAAGTAAATAACCCTTCCTTACATAGCACAAGAAGCAGCAATCACCCAGTGAAAGTTAATAGGCAGTAGGTTTAAGGACAAAGAGGTTCTTCTTCACAATGTATAGTCAAGGGATGTTATAGTTTGGGCCTTCACCACATTCAAAAAAAGGATTATGTAAATTCGGGGAGTATATGTCCATCAATAGCTATTAGCCAAGATGATCAGGGATGAAACCCCATGCTCTGGATGTCCCTAACCTCTCAACTGTCAGAAACAGGGAGTGGACCTGGCATAAGCTACTGTCAGAAGACTGTAAAGTAATGCACATTTGGAAAAATAACCCCAACTATAAGTATAGTATGATGGGGACTAATTTGGCTACAACAAATCAGGAAAGATCTTGGAGTTATCGTGGACAGTTCTCTGAAAACTTCCACGCAGTGTGCAGCGGCAGTCAAAAAGGCAAATAGGATGCTAGGAATTATTAGGAAAGGGATAGAAAATAAGATCCAGAATATCTTACTGCCCCTGTATAAAACTATGGTACACCCATATCTCAAATACTGTGTATAGATGTGGTCTCCTCACCTCAAAAAAGATATTTTGGCCTTGGAAAGGGTTCAGAAAAGGGCAACTAAAATGATTAGGGGTTTGGAACGGGTCCCATATGAGGAGAGGTTAAAGAGACTGGGACTTTTCAGTTTAGAAAAGAGGAGACTGAGGGGGGATATGATAGAGGTCTATAAAATCATGAGTGGTGTGGAGAGGGC